TATATAGATATAGATATCATTTATATGTTTTTATATGCTGGCTAATTCCTTCAAAATGCATGCAGCATCTTGGGCCAAAGCAAACAGCCTGGAACTCAGTCTGGACTTCCTATGTATTTGGCAGAGAAACCAAGTACTTGAACTTTTTTCCTGTGGCCTCCCAGGGTGTGCATTAGCAGGAAGGTGTAATTGGGAGCAGAGCCAACTCTAGACATTCTATAGGAGGCAGGTGTCGTGAGAATATTTTAATCACTGTGCCATTACCTCCCTCAGCATTTCAACATGTGAGTTTGGGGACAATGGGAGATGGAAACTACAACAAGTAACTGTGAAAAGGCATAGCAGTAGCTGCACATGCACTTACTTTTCTAAACCCATCAAGTGTACATTGAGAACCAAGTCCTGATGCTATGGAGAGATTCTAGGACCCTGGTAGTTCTGGAATATGTGACGGGGTAGAAGACGCAGGCAGCACATGGGGGAAAACAAAACCTGCCTGGGCTTCAAGAAAAAAAAAAAAAACTGTTATAAAAAAAAAAAATTTAAAGCCAGTGGGAAGAATCAGAGGATTCACAGACGTGCCCCTAGATGGCACTCTTAATCAAAAATCCCAGGCAACTTGACTTTCAAAACTACAACTACCCCAGGATTGATGGCTGCAGTGCTTTACACTAAGGAATGAATGAATGAATGAATGAATGAATGAATAAATAAATAAATAAAACCAAACATTTCCGGGGTGGGGGGGGACGGGGGAAGGAGATCCTTTACATTGCAGCCAACAAAAGGCATAAAGCTAAACAATTCTTCCTGAAGCTTAAGAATTTAGGGAGAAGGGCTGGTATTGTGGCATAGCTGTTTAAGCTGCCTCCTGTGACACTAGCATCCCACATGGGCACCAGTTGAATCCCAGCTGCTCCACTTCCAATCTATCTCCTTGCTAATGTGCCCAGGAAAAGAGTGGAAGACAGCCTAGGTGCCTGGGCACCTGCCACTGTCATGGAAGACCAGGAAGGAGCCCCTGGCTTTGGACTGGTCCAGCTTGAGTGTTGTGACCATTTGGGGAGTAAACCAGCAGATGGAAGATCTCTCTTGTTCTGCCCTCCTCCTGTCCCTCTCTCTCTGTAACTCTGCCATTCAAATAAATATGTAATAAATCTTTTTAAAAAAGAATTTAAGGGAACTCATCTGTTTATATTATCGTTTCTCCACTTGGGTGCCCTCCCTCAATTTATCCTATTCCTCCTCCTTCTCAACACCACCATCACCATCATCATCCTCAAGCTTACCTCTCTAGCCACCATCCTGATTATTTCTAGAACTACTAGGTTGCAGAATAATAGCAACAAATATTTTTGCATTCCTACATGTGTCCTATAGGTTATAAGTTCTTTACAGCCAAAACTGTAACAGTCTTCATTATTAACCCAGTGACTGTTACTCTTCACCTAGAGTCATTCTTCAGGTTGTTATGGACACAGACCACAAAGAAGGGGAAAGTCAACAAGGCACATAGAAAGAGCCCAAGTGGTAACAAGCCCTTGGACTTAGCTCTGTCCCAGGTTTGGTTTTTGTTGTTGTTGAAGATTTGAGAGGCAGAATTACTCGGGGGTGGAGAGGGAAAGACAGGCAACCTGTGTTCCCATCCACAAATTCATTCCCCCAAATGACCACAATGGTGAAGCGAGGAGCCTGGAACTCCATCCAAGACTCCACTGTGTATGGCAGAGGTCCAAGACCTTGGGCCATCTTCTACTGCTTTCTTATGTGCATCAGCAAGGAGCTGGATCTCAAGGCAGGCAGGCAGGCAGCTGGGACTCAGACAGATGTTTAGGTAGCATGCTGGTACAGGGGGCAGCTTAACGCACTGTACCACAATGCAGGCCCTTCTGTCTCCATTTCACGGAAGAAACCAGGGCTCAGGAGAAGTAACTGTCCAGGTCAGAGATGAAGTGTCAGCCATGGGGTCAGCACCCAGGAGAACTGAAACCTCAGCCCTGGTCTTTCCCAGCATGGCTTCTGGCAGTGTTTGTTTTAACAGGGGTCAACTGTCTTCCCAGTGGTGCATGTGGTAATATTTGGAGACATTTTTGTTACAGCTTCCAGTGGGGGTTGTCCTGGTATGTAACAGGTAAAAGCCAGAGACACTGTTCAAATAGCCTACAATGTACAGGACAGTCAAGAAGTAACAGAAATAACACCTCCAAAAAGCCAACTGTCCCCGTTTGAGAAAGTCCGCTCTTAAGGGCTTGATTTGGGTCCAGGAAACAATATGCTATTCCAAGGAATTTGCATTTATTTATGATGCCTCTCTGGCTGGCGACTTAACCCTCTGTAAAAGGGAGATGTTGGGGGCACGCATTGTGGTGTGGTGGGTCAAACTGCCCTTCGGGACACCTACCTCCCACTTAGGAGTGCTTGGTTTGAGTTCTGGCCACGATACTCTGCACTTTGGGTCCAGCATTTCTGCTATCGTTATCTGGAAGGTCACAGACCATGACCCAAGTACTGGAACTCCATGGGGACGCTGGCTTTGGCTAGGCCTAATCCTGGCTGTTACCGGCATTGGCATTCGGGGAGGGAACCAGCAAGTGCGACATTTGTCTACAGCTTTTCCTCCGTGTCACTTTACCCTTTCAAAAAACAAAATTAAATTAAAAATGGAGAAGACTAACCAAACCCATTTCTAGAGCTCTGTAACTCATCACTTGAGAAGGAAAGACTAAAGACTTCCAGTCAAGGTGGTACCTCATCATTTGTGCTGGGAGCTCCAGAGTAGCTTCCAGAACAGCTGCCTGCGGGTATTTATGAGGGGAAGCCCTAAGTTTCCTCGAAAACCCATCCTCAGCGGCCACTCGTCTCTGAGGCGGCCCGAGCACCCTCATTCCAAGCTCAAAGCGCAGGAGGCGACGCCCTCGGAGCCTCGGTTTCCTCAGCCTTACACTTCCCCGGGACGCCTTGAGGCACACGCCAGCTCGGAACAAGAACCGGCGCGCCTCGCACAGGCCGGGGTCTCCGCCGCGCGGCAGCCCGCGCCCACCTTCCGGCGTGCGAGCCAGGGCGGAGCCGAGGGCGGTGCGCGCGCCGAGGGGCGGGGACGCGGCTAATGTTCTTCCTCCCTCTCTTCCCGCCTCCCGCCTCCTTTCGCTCCCCCTACAGGCGTGGTAGGGGCAGCCGGGCCGAGGGACCAGGTGAGCGTTTGAAGCTCGGGGGGCCGTGGGCTTCAGGGTGCTCCCGACTGCAGAGACCCTCTGGCTCGCGGGGGGCACTCGTGGAGGAATGCGGGGGGCGGCGGCTCGAGCGTGTAGACGGGGGCCCCGGGGTGGCAGCACCACGGGGCATCTCTTGCCCAGTCAGTCTACCGGCGGAGCAAGCGGAGTGCGTGCCAGCCACCCTCCGCTCCATACACCACTGCCGCTCCTAGTTTGGTACAAGAGTGGTCAGCCCCACGCTGTCCTCCCCTCGAGACCCTGCGCCTTCTTTGAGAAGTCCGGTGGGGATGGCGTCAAGTCGAACCTGCTCTTGAGTTGTAGTGAAAATGAGTGCCGTCTTCCCTCAGCGGAACCCGCTGCCGAGGGGGAAGCTGCGAGTGCAAAGGCTCGAATTACTCTCAGAGGCTCTGTTTCTCGGCTTCCGTGACCCCTCAGACAGGGCGCCCAGATCCACATCCTCTTCCTCCTCCCGTGGATGCCCTCCACTCGCGGTCTTTGAAGATGAAGAAAAAAGGAGCCCAAATGGGAAAGGAGAGTGGCCAGGGTGGGCTCAAGGGGCCCTTCCGCCAACCAGAGACGCGACCCGCCCCTCTTCCCTCTCTTCTGGCTGCAGCGTTCCATGGCAGCCGTTTGCCCCGAGGCTCGGGGTCTCCAGAGCCGGGTGGTGCTTTGAAGCCTTGGAAATTGCGAGGGCTGGTCGGGGAGAAGGCCTCCTGACCTCCTCCGAAGACTGCATGGTGCCCTGGGAGGCCCCTGCCAGGGGTGGATGACTGGACGGACAAAGGGCCTGGGAGGTGGTGGCCAGGTAGATGCACCTGACAGCATGTGTGCTGGTAGCATTCCCCCCACGCTCTCCTCTTTCAGACTCCCCAAACCGGTCTGGATGGGCCACTTGGGTTTTCCCAGGGCAAAGGAGACTGGCAAGGAAATTGGGCGTGTTTCGGCAGGGGTGAGACTAGGGGAACAATCCCATATACTAGATCTAGTCCAGCAGCGACCTAGCTGGAGCCCTTAAAATGCGCTTTTATTAGCCTGCCAGACCCTGTAGTTATTAGTTGTGAAATCTCCCCCTTTGTAACTCACCACATTAGCATGTAGAATAGTCAGGATGGTCAGTACATGTGAGGATCTCAGTTAATTTTGGCTACTGTGACAGAATCTGGAAGGCATTTGTGTTACAGGTCAGATCAATTGTAAGTGAGAAATGGAAACAGTATCTAATGTGTTTGTTGTTCTGGGAACCATAAAATAAACATGATCAAAACTATGTTGCCATTTGCCTTTATGAAAAATCAATAAAATTTACAGGAAATTGGGACAAATCCAGAAATTCCAGGCTCTTCTATCACAGAAGGTAACTGTGGCAAGGTCTTGTTACTGGTAAATAGAGATCAGTTTAGGGCCTGGTGTGGTTGGGAGCCAACCTGTACAGTATCGGTAGTAAGCAATGAAGAGAAGTTGACCAGAGTCATTGGATCGTTGTCTTCCTAGGAAGGCCTTTTTTTTCTTTTCTTTTTCCAAAAGCAGTGTGACTTGAAATAGTATGCTCAGCTTTCTTGGCTTTCTTTTTGTAACACTTTGGAATATTTTTATATTATTTTTCAGAAATGTATCATGAACATCATTTTATTGACTGAATTTACCATGATGTAGCCAGTTTCTTACTGCAGTTCACTGAGCTTCTTCGCCAAGTTTTGCTGGTTGTTACAAACAGGAATGGGCTATGTCTTCTTTGGCTACATTCTTATAGATCTGTTTGATTATTTCCTTCAGGTTTCTAGAAAATAAATTGTTGGGTTCAAAGTGTATGTAATTGGTAATTTCAATACCTATTGCCAAGTTGTTCTCCATCTGCATGCCCTCCCTCAGGGTGTGAGAAGTTCTTGTTGAACCACTTGGGTGGAGACCTTCGATGGTTAAATGACTTTGTTGTTTCCTTCAGTGACAGAAAGCAGCGGAGCGGCATGCAGGATTGGACTGCTCACTCTGCTGGAGAATTTTCTGAGAGGAAACTTATTCCTCAGAAAGACATTTGAAGTAAGCTTCAGGATGGTGAAAAAAGAGCCCCCGAGTATCTCAAAGGACTTTGAAGAGTTACAGAGGAAGCTGTTTTTGCTGGCGGAGTCCATCAAGAATAACTCAAAGGTCAGTGTCCAGTCATTATATATAGTGGAAAATCCCCCCCAACTGACATGAATATAAGCAAGATAGGAAGTATCTACTTTCCCAAGTAGAAGAAATTTGAAGGTATGTCAGTAATCTTTTTGACTCACCTATCCTACTCTCAGTGCTAACTTTCAAATTCATTATCCAAGAAGATTGCTGAAACATCAGCCATTCATATTCCAGGAAATAAGAATGAATGAGTAAAAAAAAAAAAAAATGAAGCAGTAGAGGAAGAAATGTTTGCCAGCTACCTCCAATTTAAGGAGACGTCCTAAAGTAGCAGTGATTCTGATTACATCTCTCAGAGGCCGAAAGTGCTGAATGACCACTGGCATAGGCAAATGAAATTCCTTAGCTGTGTGTCTAGAGGCCATTCTCGTTCTTTGCCATTGAAAGCATCCTTTCCTTGTCTTGCTGCTAATTTTAGCTTACTTGTTACATTGAACACCATAACTCCAGTGTTCCACTAGAAATCACAGGCATGATGTGCACTGCATATGTCTTAAAATTTGCAGATACCACATGTAACATGTGAGAAGAAACAGGGGGAATTAATTTTAATAATGCTTTAGTCAACCTGCCATATCCAAAATGTCATTTCAACTTGTAGTCATTGTAAAAAAAAAATATAGTGGGGGAAAAAAACCCTTTGGGATATTTCACATTCTTTTTTTGGTACTCTTTGAAACCCAGTGTATGTTTTGCATTACCAATATATTCTAGTTCAAACTAGCCACTTTTAAGATACCTAGTAGCTTGTCAGTTTACAGCTGAACTTGAGTTAGTGTTTTCTGCCTTCTGGCCAATTTATCTGTGTAATTTCCTCTATCTGCATTTCAGTATTTTATCTGCAGGAAAAATGGGTTTCAGAGGTAGTACTGTTAACATTTGATGTCTGTTTTTCTAGACTTTTTTTTTTCTTTTGCTATGTGATATACCCATGAAAGTGCATTTGTATATATAACAAAATGAACTGTTCATGTGATGTGGTTTTGTTCTGGACAGCCCTAAAGTCTACTCCAGGAGGTGCTACTTTACAATCCAGAGCAATCAACTCTCCGGAGACCTTCTCTGGGCCCACTCCAGAACCCATCTGGCACTCTCTGTGGATTTACCAACCTATTTTTAGATTGTACGTGTAACTTTGTAGTCAGCTGGCTGAGGTTCAAAAGTTAGCTCGTTGGGCAAGGTCCCCAAGCCCTTTTCACAAGAGTTGATTTTTCAGTCCTTGTGGTAGTTACCTTCTATAAAGTCACTGCAAGAAGCAAACCTCCAACCCCATTTCCTAGAGGGAAACATCAGATTTAGTCCTGGCCATTTCTCGATCAGTGCATAGCCTTATTGTTTGTGCATTTGTGTTTAAGGAATCCTTGGCGTGTGTCTGTGACCATCACCATAGAGCTTGGGACTGACAGCACTTTGAGTTGTGCCTGGAACAGTTTGTCTGGCATGTGTACCTTCTCTATGAAGCGCATCCCAGCCTGAGGCTCAGTAACACCAGGACATTGCCCCCATTGTTTCAATTGGGGACGAGTGAAACAATGAAGCAAAAGCACAAAAATGTGCAAAATGCAGCACCAAATTGACTGTGGCCAGGACATTTGTTTAGTGAACTGAAGCCAAATGCCAGATTGTCACCTTGTTTGATCTCAATTGGGAATGTACATGTTAGATGACTCACTTTTTTTTCTTGCTGCCTTATACATGTCTTATGATCTAGAAATGCTATACATATTGATTTGGGAGTTAGAGATCAGTGAGAGAGACATGCTTAAAATAGATCAAGAAATACAAACATTAAGGGAACCGTCTAGGACTTTTTGGAAATGCAAGGCTGAGTTTAAAGCCCACAACAGGAAGTAAAGCTGGCCATGGCTTGAGAGAAGGAATTTGAAGCAGGATCTGGTAGGTGAATGGAGTCAGAGGTATTCTTAACACACCTCCTCTAGGCTGTCTGGCTTCATTCACACTGTTGTTTCTGCCTGTGCATCTGCTGTGCTTTCCTGTCTGTGCAATCTGGCGTCTCTGACTTTTCTACTTACATGGCTCTGTTGATATGAGCATGACTCAGAGGCCTACCCCTACCATGGGGAAGGGAAGAGAGACGGAGCATGGGCTGGGCAGGTAAACACCAACGATATCTCCTGGTGTGCATTATCTCTGACAAAATAGTTTTGTCTCCTGCAGACCTTTTCTGCCAGAAAGGATGGTTTTGGGCATCTCCCCATAACCTCTGTGCCACCCCTGAATCCCATGCTAGAGGGCTCCAGAGACTGTAATCTGGGAGAAGCCATCCTGCAGCACCTTTCACTTGTCTGTCAGCAGTGGCTGTAAATGATTCTCAACTCCTCATTCTCCCCTCAGGATCCAGGGAATAGAATCACTGACTGTCTCATGCACTGTGACACCTGAGCATGTGTCCAGCTTCTCTGTAGTCCCAGGTAGAGGCTTCATATCCACTGATACTGTCTCCATTGTCCATCCTTTGGGTCCTCTCCAAGGAGGACTTGTGGTTTACAAATCAACCATCTTTGACCTTGGACAGATCAAGTGTGGCTCTGGCTCATTGAACTTGCTCCTCCTCTTTTCCAAAATAAGCAATGCCAGGCTCATAAACATGTAGTGAGGATTATGTGTGCTGCTGTGTGAGAAAGGCTTATAGCACAGAGCCAGGCACATGGCGTCTGATGTGCATTCCTGGGTTCTTCATTGAAGCTCTGTGTCAGGAAAGCCTAGGCTGGGAAACCTGTGGCTGTTTCTAAGATAGGCACTGAAAATTACAGAGTGTTCCAGAAAAATAAGCCCTCCCGCTTCCTCCCATTGTGTCCCAACTCTGTCGCCATGAGAATGGAAAGCTAATTACAATGTTCTGGATTTAACTAACGTTAAGTTGTTCTTCCTTACCTGTCTCACAGCACTGTGAGCAGAAATACATGAGGAAACACATGGAAAGCCCTTGAATCAGGGCTGAGCACTTGAGTGTTTAATGAATGCTCTCTGTTTTGTTGGACATGACTGAAATGTGTCTTTCCCTGACGTTTGGTGGACCAGCTGAGTACGGTGATGTTTCTTGCCTGGGAAAAGACAATTGTCCAGTTTACCTGTCTACAGCTTAAAATGGTCCCTGCTTGCTGAAGAATTGTATATTTTGGAGTTGTGGAGCTGACAAGAGGCTTAAAAATAAAAGTAGATTCCTAAAAGACTGTATGTGGAAGAAAAATCATGCCTTTACTAGTAGATTCCTGATGTGAAATTTACTTATGAAAAGCATTTTTCTTTAGTTGTTATGCTTTCATTTCACATTTCCCCATCTTCTTCATCTCTGTACCACCCTAGATTTGTCATTCCTATATCTATCTATGTTTGTCCATCTATTCACCTGCTATGTATCTGTGTATATTGTTTATACACTCCTAACATATTTCAACTGGGATGTCATTTTCCATTGGAAATACCTTCTCTGTTCAGATTTTATAAAATTTTCAGTTGAAAAGTGTAGATCTGTATACTCAGCCTTTTTGAAATGTGCTTTAAAAATTGTCCAATGACTGAATCAAGGATCAGTTCCAAAACTTAAAATTGATGGAAAATCCAGGCATTATTCACACAAGCCATGTCTCAGGGCTGCATGGCCATATGTAGCCACAGTGCTGCGCAGTGCACGTGTAAATCCTTAGGTCTGACACTTAAGTGGCAGCCTCAGTGGCTCATCTTGCCACACAGGCCTTCCCTTGTTAGCCTGACATTTACAGTTTGCATTACCGTGTCCTTCCCTTACCTGGAATATCCACCGACTCCTTCCCATTGTGCTCTCTGGGGTTCTTTTGATTGTAAAAGTCAGAACAGTTCAGTCTGCCTGTTATACAGGAAATAGGCATGGAACAGAAGTGACCAGTATTCAGGACAACCTGGAGCAGCTTGAGGAGCCAGCCTGTGTCCCGTGTGGCCACCACCACATCCACTCTGCCCCTTACCAGCCGTTCTCGGTATGATCTCAGGTACTGAAAATGGAGTGTCCAAGCTGGGTAGCCCCAGCTTCGGTGTCGTACCTAGTACACTCACCTCTGGCTGTGGAAATGGAACAGCAAAATGTTAGGTGACTTTCTGTCACAGTAGAATGTGGGTGGCATTGTAGCAAGTGGGCTTTATGCCATTTTGTGGCCTGGCAGGAAGTGAGGTTTGTTGTGCTTCAAGAGGTCCTCCTAGGAGGCAGGGAGGAAGTCCCAAGTCGGATGGCTGTGGCTTCTGTTAACCCAGGGTGAGCCTTGCGCTTTGGCTGCCATCACCATGAACCACAGAATTTTCCTGTTTTCAGCTTGTCCTGAAATTCATGTCACTTGAATCATCTTGGCTGAAGACCAGTTTCTAGGAAGCATATGCGTTCAGCAATGACACCTGTCATTGTTGTATGTCTTTGGTTTGGCTGCTGGTCTATAAGGCATTAAGGAGTAGGAAGTGGGAAATATCAGTTTTGAAAGAAGGTTCTGGAATCCAGAAACTGACGGGAACATGGTCCAGAATGTCACTGCGAAGGGGAGAAAAGGCATGTGGCCTGGAAGGATGTCCATGATACAAGTGGCAGCTTAAATCCACTGTGCCACAACACTGGCCCCTTCTTCGTTCTTAAGCTAGTGCATGTAACACGTCAGCTGGGATCTTGTTTTAAAGCTAAATCAGGGTTCGTAGGTGTAGGTCACAGCCAGAGCTGCTGCATTTCCGACAAGTGATGCAAAGTCACGAAGACTTAAGTTCTTTGTGCCTCCGTGACTTCAACTGTGAAAAGCTCTGCTGTGTCGTAGAAGGCAGATTGTTTGTGTTCCATCACTGCACATGTGTACTGTGCAGAGGGCTGTGTTGAGCGGGAATCTGATCTGTTTCTTTTTTTTTTTTCCACAAGGCTTGAGGTTAGTAACTTGGCTCTCAGACCTACCCTGTCCACACTGGCTTAAATAGCTGCCTCAGTTGACTCAAGTTTTGGGAGGCGTCTGCTAGAGACTAGAGACCACCTTGATGACTTCTTTGTGCTTCCCACAGCTGGAGTGGATGCTTTCAACCTGGGATTCAGGCCTGGCACTCAAACTGGTCTCTTTATTCTTTGCCCACAGGTGGTGTCCTTCATGAAGTCTCCAGTGGCTCAGTACTTGGACAGTCATCCTTTCCTGACACTCACCTTGCTAGTATTCATTGTTATGTCAGCCCTTCCTGTTGGGTTCTTCCTCTTCTTCGTGGTGTTGACCTTCTTAGCTGCTCTTGTGGGAGTCATATTACTGGAAGGTATGCTGTTGGTTACTTACCTGTTTGAAAAATGACTCAGTTGGGAGGACAGTAATTATTGGCCATCTGCCACTCTTGTCAAAGCTTTCTGTTCTTATCAAAAGCCACACAAGGCAGTCTGTCAGGGTAGTTAAAATATGGACCCTGGAGTCTGTTAGAATTTTATGTCCACTGGCATGTCTTTTGGACAAGTCATTTATCAAATTCGACAGGTAATAAAAATTATCAAAATACCCAGTATGATACAATGTAGGGATGGTGGGGACTGGAGGCAGCTGGAGGGCCAGGCAGTTGTTGCAATGCAAATGTCCAGTTGGGGTGGTGAAATCTCCTCACTAAAGAGCATAAGATAATTATCATTGTCATAGACACATTACTCTGAGTCTACCAGTTTTCAGCTTGTTATAAATGAATGTTTCTTCTGTTATGTTCTGTCTTAGGACTGGTCATCTCCGTGGGTGGCCTCTCACTGCTCTGTGTCCTCTGTGGCTTGGGCTTCGTGTCGTTCATTGTGTCAGGGGCAGCCATAATGTCCTACGTGATGATTTCCAGCCTCATTGGGTTCTGGTTTTCTCCCAGGTAAATATATGTCAATGAAATACTTTATCATAATTTTCAAACTATTTATTTTATTTGTTTGTAAAATAGTGAAACGAACAGACAAGAGATCTCCTGTCCACCACTTTCTTCCCTAAATGTCCAACCAGAGCTGGCCCAGGCTCAAGTTGGGAGCCAGAAACAAGCTAGGTATCCTACGTGATTAGCAGGGACCCAAGAACTTGGTGTTACTTGCTGCCTTCTTGGGCATATGTAAGTAAGAAGCTGGAGTCCAGAGCAGAGCCAGGATTTGAACCAAGGCACTCTGATAAAAGAGATGCAGGCATTTTAAGTAACATCTTTGCCATTATGCCAAATGCCTACCCCATGGGGGAGTTTTCACAAATAATCCCCTAAGCCTCCCACTCCCTTCAATGTCTTGAAGCAAAATTGTAAGTGGCAGATATTTCTGATAGTTCTTCATAATGTCAGACATTAAATGGGACTTTACATGGACTATCAAGCAAACTATTGCTGTCATCATCTATCACACATACACAACTCATTTCATAGCCATAGCAATTCCATGAAGTTGTTATTATTGATTCCTTCAGAAAGATGGCCATTTAACTTCCAAAAGTCAACTTAACATGTTTTTACTATGGTTACTATAGAGAAAAATGTGAAGGTTCCTTAAGAAATTAAAAACAGAACTACCGTAGGACCCCACAATCCCACTACTGGGGATATATATATATATATCTCCAAAAGAAATTAAATCATATTATCAAAGAGGCATCTACACTCCTGTATTTATTCCGGCTCTATTCATAATAGCCAAGTGATGGAATCAGTGTGTCTATCAGTATAGAAATGGATAAAGAAAATGTGTACACATACAATGAAATAACATTCAGCCATAAAAATGGATGAGATCCTATTATTTATGACCACATGGATAAATCTTGAGAACCTTATGTTTCATGAAATATGCTGGGCACATAAAGACAAGTATTGCATGATCTCACTCATTTATGGTGTCTGACAAAGACAATCTTACACAACTAGAGAACAGAATAATGAGACTGGAAACTAGGATGGAGTGGAAGAAAGTTGGTCAATGCAGAAAGTTAGTTTAGATGGAAGAAATGTAATTTGATGTTTAAATGTCTGGATCATTCTAGCGAAGAGTCTTGAAAGTTTCAGAAAACACATATTATGAAAAAAAATGTGTGTAAATATTTTAAAAATCTTTTTTGCACAGAAATAAGTAGTAGCCTAAATAGGAATTTACGATTATTACGTAACGAAAAGCTGATGACAGCCCAGGTGGATGCATGTCTATACTTGCACCTTGAGCCTCTCTGTGTTGCCACCCTTGGCCTATTTTTTTTTCCCCTCATGGTGGTAAGATAGCTACTGTAACCCCAAGTGCCCCAGTGCCCCAGCTACATGCAAGGCCGGGTGAAGAGGGGACTTGGGGGGGCAGAAATAAGTGCTCCTTTTCATCTGGCATGTGAAGTCTTCCCTGGCATCTCACCCCACTCTCCCACAGCTTTCAGCATTGGTTAGGACTTTGGCAGAGGAAACGCTAGGCTGGGTGTGTTCGGCTTACACATCTTCCTTAGCAGACTCGCAAGGAGAAAAGCCCTGCTAATGTGTCCCAGCTGGCCAGACTCCAGTGTGTGCTGTTGTTTGTCACAGTGGGGTGTGTCAGTGGTAGCAAAACTCAAGTTTAGGGAAAATCCATAGATAAGTTCCTGTTCATAGCACTGCCTTCCTTCCCTGTCATCGCCTTCTGGAATCTACAGTCACAGGGACTAAGAAGTGTTTTTCTTCCTTTACCTTCCGCCTCCCTTTCACTGGAGCTGTCAACAACCGATCTGAAGATAGGGACCTGAGTCCCAATCTCTGTTGTTTTCCAGTGGTGTGATCTGGAACAAACCACTAAACTTCTTCCTGTTGGCAAAATGAAGCTACTCCTCGCTCTGCTTTCTCATTGGGTTGTGGTGAAGATACCAATGACTGTGGAAACACAAAATATCCATAGCAGAACAGGGGGAATGAGCCACAAGCCTGTTCCTAACCCAGTCATTGTAACCTTCTGTGGCCTCAGTTCCCTCATCTGTAACATTGGCATTGTCCCCAAAACACTGTGGTTGCAAGAAGCAGCTGGAAACAAAGCCTCAAAGAATGTTGTACATTCAGTTCTGTCTGCTCTCAAGAGGCCCCAGAGCTAACTGTCTCCTCTTGTTGCTAAACAGACCCCCGGCACACAAAAACCCCAGTGGTGACTGCCAGCTGGCTATGAAGTCTGCAGACTTGAAGGGAGTCTACCAGGAGTGACCGGCCGGATAGAACCAGAGCTCTCTTTCCAAACATCTCAGGAAAGCTGTCGGATTGTGCTTACTCCAAGGGATCATGACTCAGAGAAGCTGTCAGGGTGGTCAGACATGCCTCAGATGTGTCCTCTGGCTTTTCCACTTGGTGTTTGTAGGATCCTGCAGCGGCCCAGTTTGGCCTGTTTGGTCCGCCATCTGCCACTCAAGTATGTGGCCTTGACTTTGAGAAGGATCTGGGCCAAGAGTCAGAGCCTTGGGGCTTATGTCCACAGACTCACAAGAAGACAACAGAGGATTGCTTTTGTGTTTGGAAATGCGGAAGCTGTTTATTTATTGTCACTCGGTTTAAAACAAGAGGTAGAGAGTAATTCAAAACAGAGCAAGCTCTTCCGCCCCATTCACTTTTGATTGAGAAAACACCGCACCTTTTGGAAATAATAGCCTCTGATAGCTGGAAAATAGAGTCCAAACTTAGCTTTGTGGCCAAGAATCTAGAAATCTTAAAGTTTCCACGGTTACTTTTACATGCTCAATCCTGTTCATCGTTTACATATTTGCCCTTGATAGTTTTGCATTGTTTTTAAGGACATCTATTAAGACGTTTATTTTAAAAAATGGTTAAAGGACTACACAGTAAAAAAAAATAAAACATACTATGGAATTTGTACTTCAAATGGTTTTGTTTACTGTGACATTTCATCAGCTGTTTGGATGGTTTACCGTCTCCCCTGCCTTCCCTCAGCCACACACAGCCTGCCTGCCTGTTGGTTCTCTGTCAGTTCTATGGGAGATCCTGGGTGACAATCGGTTTTAAGTTGGTAGTGACAAAACTCAAAGTTAATTCTAAAAGGTATTTGTGGAATACAAATAGTGAAGGGAGGGATTTATTTCACCCAACCCAAAAGCCAAGGGTAGCTTGTCGAGGCACTGATGGATTAAGATGTTCAAGTGATATCTGTAGGTATTTCTCATCTTTGCTTCTCCCCTCATGAGCTGCTTTCTCAGATTTACCCACAAGAGGTCCCAGCTCTAGTTACAATGTACTGGGCAAGAAAACTGCTATTTTCCCATAGCACATAGAAATAGTCCAGGTTTGACTCTGATTAGACAGGTTTTAGTCATGTGAGCAATCCTGAAACAGTTGCCAGGAAAAGAGCCCTTACTGGGACCTATATCCAGGAGCTAGGGGGCGAACTGGGTCAGGTCTGTTGTTCCACGTAGGGTGGGGATGCTGATATGTAGAGGAATGGGAGACAGTTCCAAGGTCAGATGAAAATGAACTTGACTGTGCAGACCAAAATGAATGCTGCATTTTGCCACAGAGGGGAAATAAAGGCTTTAATTTACACACACATTTATTGTCTCACAATTTCTGTTTTAAGAGCCCAGGCACAGCCTGATGGGGCCCGTTGTCAGGCTATAACCACAGTGTTGGCCAGAGTGGGGCTTTAGGAAAGGATCCTCATCCAAACCTACACTCTTAAAAGCAACACCCAATTCCTTGCTTATGGCAGGACTGAGCCCTCAGTTCCTTGATGTAACCCCTCAATAGGTGGCTGTTCACAGTGCAGCTCTTTTCATCTCCAAAGAATTAAAAAGGAGAAAGATTCTTAGCAGAGTTTCTTATCACATTCTTAGGTAATAACTATGTGTAGTCGTTCACATCCCATTGCTTTTTCCATATTCTGGTTAGAAGCAGATGGTTAGAACCATCTGTACTTAAGAAGGTCCAGAAATCACCCAGTGACATGCTAAGCATAGATGGTGTTTCTGGTCCTACCCTAGAGTCTACCCACTCCAGCGGGTGCACAATATATATATCGAAGAAGAATCACAGGGTGGCAAATATTTGTGAGAGACCACTTCAGCTCTAGTGATCAGGAATTTCTTCTCTGAACAAAAAAAAAAAAAAAAGTTGCTACTATGCCAAGCACTGGAAAGCAGGTTTTCCTGGCATTGAGCACCACAGACTGGTGTCCCAGAGACTGGCAGGAACTTAACATGTTCACTGTCCTGCAGCGATGAACTTGGTACATGGAGCCAATAATTATACACAGGGACTACTGACTGATGGTCCATAGCCAGAGCTTTTAACACTATCAGATTTTTTTAAAAAAAACTGGGTGTCAACTAGGCATGAGGGAGGGGGGCTTGAGGAATTTACATATAAACAGCAAGAGGGAGTTCCCATACCTCTGTCTTGATCTGTTATCTAAATCTAAGGCAGCAGGTTTAGATTATGGAGTTCCTGACCTATGTATTTCTGTATTAACCGCTCCCGGGAGTGTTCCCAACAAGATTCCAGCAGGCCATAGCTTCACACTGGCCAATCAGTTGTTTTCCTGCAGAGCTAATAAATTGTTCTCCTGCAAACATGGTTAACAATGTTGGGACTGGCAGGTTAAGCTACCACCTACAACTGTCAACATCCTATTTGGGTGTCAGTTCGTGTCCTAGCTGCCTGGGAAGGCAACAGAAGATGGTCCAGTTATTTGGGCCCCTACTTCTCAGGTGGAAGGCCCAGATGGAGTTCCAGCTTCCTACCTGCAGCCTGGCCAGCTCTGACTGTTGAAGTCACTTGGGAAGTGAATCACTGCTTGGAAAATTCTCTCTGTCCCTCTCTCCTTTTTCAAAAAAAGAGAAACAGTGCACAGCTTGGCCTGATGAGGAAATGTTAAGTGGAACAAAGAGAAGAGCTCACCACATGGGACTTGCTAGGGTAAGAAGTTCACCCCAAAAAGCAAGAGAAGACAATGAAGAAATCTTATACAGGAAAGTGACACCATCCAACACAGATTTTCATCAGATCACTCCATGTTCAAGAGATTGTGAGCAGGAAGGCCAGCTAGGAGGAATGCAGAAAAGTCCAGAGCAGAGGGTGGTTGGAGTTTAAAACTTTGGTAGGATGGAGGTAATGGAGACCGTTCTCGTTTGAAGAGCCAGCAGGTTGCATGTGGGTGCATGTGGGTGAAGGAGCATTAGACACAAAGTTGGCACCACGAGTTCCAGCCTGAGCCAGTGGGTGGACGCTGACACTGTTTTCTGAGGAGAAAGATGTGTACAAATGCCAACCCTGCTGTGCTCCTGTTAAGTCAGATTGGCCCTTTTTGACATCAAGAGGATACGTCCAGTCGACGATTCAGGCCGGGGGTACACACATGGAGATGGTTTTCAGTGCAACAGATTTACACAACGTTCTTGTGGGATGTTCTACAGAAAGTAGCCAAAAGATGATTTCAAAACTTATTTCTGGATACATAAACACCCTTGCTGCAAACACTGCCAAGTGCAAGGAGGCTCTTCTCTCACGGCACCCAGAAGTACTGACTTCCTGTCACGGATCAGGCTGTGACCAAAGATCAATCACAAGGCATGGAATGCTTTTCATATTCCAACAGCTCCTGAAAGGCAGAGGTGAAGCCATCGTTCTAAGCTTCACTCACTTCAGCATCTAAATTGAGGTTTCCAATAAGGTGGTTATTTCCATCTCTCTCCTGCACACTGCCTGAGCGCAAGGCAAATGAAGGAAAAGAATGTACTAGACCTTGGAACAGCGCCTGACACCAAATAAGCCCATGAAGAGTAGTTGTCAGAATGTACGGCTGTATGAATTATTTAAAACTGATTGGAAGAGAAATGTGTTAAGAGGCTTTTTGTTAGCCAAGCTGTGGAGGACTATAAAGACTCACTGTTTATACAAAAGATATCACTGACTATTAAGACACAGCTCAATGTGTGCATTTGGAATGATTAGTAACCCTCAGGGCACCAAAATCATGGCTTCATATGGTCATAATGTTAGTTCATTGGTGTGTCCAGGGTGTGTGTGTTTGTCCTGGCGCATTTGCCACATGCAGGGAGTTATTGTAAGCCCTGTACACAGTAGTGTTTGTGTCCAGTGTGACCTCCCTGCTGCTCATTTTAACCATGCAGAAACTGAGAGATCAAATTGCCCAAGGGCACATGGAATTAGAAGTGGGATTCAAACCCAGTTTGTCTGCAAAATCCACTTCATAAGCTGTGTGTGTGTGTGTGTGTGTGTGTGTGTTTTTTTTTTTAAGATTTACTTATTTTCAGTGGAAAGGCAAATTTACAGAGAGGAGACACAGAAAGATCTTCCATCCACTGATTCACTCCCCAAATGGCCACAGCAGCTGAAGCTGAGCTATTCTGAAGCCAATAGTCAGGCACTTCTTTCAGCCTTTCACATGGGTTCAGGGCCTCAAGACTTTGGGCCGTCCTCTACTGCTTTCCCAGGCCATAAGCAGGGAGCTGCAAGTGGAGAACATAAACTGGCACCCTTCTGGGATACCAGCGCTTACAAGGGGAAGATTAGCCAACTGAGCTACTACGTTGGATTCCCAGCTGTGTGCTTTTAAATGTGAACTCCTTCTACCTGCCATTGAGGCCTTTTGGGAATTAAGTTTATTCTCTAATCTGTGTCATTTGGATACTCTGCTTGAAAAAGTTGTTCACTTTCCTAAACTCAAGAGGGAAAGTATATTTGGCAGAGCAGTTAAGACACTAGTAGGATGCTGCAATTCCAAATTGGGTACCTGAATTTCAGTCCTACTTCCATCTCAAATTCTAAATTCCCACTGAAGAGCTCCACAGGAGGCAGCAGCTGCTGGTTTAAGGGCTTGTATTCCTGCCTCCTGTTTGGGAGACTCAAGGATTAGGTTGCAGGCTTCTGTCTGGTTGAGTTCTGGCTATTGGAGCATTTAGGTGGTGAACCAGCAGATGGAAAGTCTTTCTCTGTGTCTGACTCTGTTTTTCATATACATTTTCAGGTTTGACAAACAGAATCTCTGTGCCTCTCTTTAGGTGCAAGAACCTCAAGCTTTGTCTGAAAAACCTAAAAAACATTATTAGAAGGAAAGGTTATGATACCCGCTGGTACATATGGGGGTCAGATCTGGGGGCAGGCCAGGCTGGGTCAGTTCATAACACCCATTGGCAGATCTGAGAAATAGGATAGGGTGCAGGACAGGCTGGGTCGGGCTGCAACAGCAGCCAGTTCACATTAGGGTCTGGACTGGGGGCTGGCTGGGATGGGCTAGGCTGCTGCACCCACCAACATGAGCTGGAACTGGGGGCAGACTGGGTCATGCCAGACTACTGTACCCACCAAGAAATGCCAAGGTAGGCAAGTCATGCCAGACTGGGCCGCAGCACATGTGAGACTCGGACAGGGGTGTGCGGACCTGGTAGCAGGGCACTGTGAATGTG